TTCTTTCCAGCTGCAAAATCAGCCTACAAGTGGGCAGAATCTTCCAAAGACTGTTTTGAGTGCTTTGAGCCCCAGATCCTCCTCATTTGCACTTGCTGAAGAAGTTGGGGTGCCCAGCTAAGCTAGGGGTTGCAGAAACTGCCCTCCTCTGGCCACACGGGGGTGCTGTGCCTGCAGCTCCAGCTGACCAAGGCTCCCTTAACTTGCCACTGCCGTCTTCCCCCCACATCCAGAGGGCTGTGGAGACTGCTGACCTCCCAGTCCTGGCCCTGAAAGGGGAGTCTTGGCCTGGGGGCCACCCAGACCACAGGGAAATCCCTTGGTCCTTCTTCACCAATGGTGCACAAAGGTGCCTCCCTGTTCTCTGGTTGCCTCACAGCATTTGACAGGCAGTCCTCTTATTTTAACAAACTTACCTAAAAGGCATTTAGCTTGATGCCTGGGGTCGGAAGGGATACTGCATGCCTCAAGGGATGACCGAGCAGTACGACCAGAATGAGACTTGCTTTTCAAACCCTAACAGCAACCCCAAAGCCCTGGGAGTAAGATAGAGTCAGAGCGACGTGCTCAAGGGGCTCAGGAGGGACCACGCATCCTGCTCAAAGCCGTGGGTGAGACACAAAAACACCTGACAGGCTTTAACGTGAGCCTTTGCATTTCACATCTTGTCTCTTGTCTGGGGGCAGCGAATAAGCTCCTGAAGCATTCCCCAAATATTGACTCCTTGCGGGATAGGCTGTACAATGAATGTATCTAATAATACTGGGACAGTCCTAGGCCTGGGCTGTTTTGTTTACCCCCTGCCAAGGCCTCGCACAGCTGGGCGCATTAATGAAACTTCTGAGTTTAAAGATGAAGCCTCAGTGCAGAAAAACCAAGGGTGGGAGACAGGGCGTGGGGGGTCTGGGCTGGGTATTGAGCTTGCTGTGACCCCTCCTTGCCTGATTCCAAGGTCCCTCCTTGGAATCATCTATTGTGGCAAAGGCCCCAGGAAGACCCTACCTGGGAAAGTGATGGGGACGGTCAGTCTTCTGTGTGCACAGGGCTTGGTCACAGCTCCAGGAGTGTGTAAAGCCACCCGTCCAGGTGTCTGTGTGTGGCCAGAGTCCACAGTTGGCTTTCCTTGAGGGAGATGATCCTCAGTGACCCGGGTGGGCCTTACCCGGGCAGTTGAAGACCTGAAATCAAAAGCAGAGGCTTCCTGAGAAGGAGGAAGTTTCTGCCTCCAAAACGCAGAAAGGGCTGGGTTTCCAGGCTTCTGGTCTGCCCTAAAGAATTAGGAGGAGTCAACCCTGCAGTCTGGGTGTCTCCTGTGTAAGCATCAGCCATCCGTGCATCCATCATGGAGCTATCTAACTTTATATTTATCTGCCCATCTATTATATCTATCCATATATCATCTATCAACCAATCAATCTATCTATACCATCATCAATCTATCCATCTATCCTGTTATCTATATTAATCAATCAATTTATCCATCCTATCAATGTATCAATATCCATCAATTTATTCATCAATTCTATCAAGATATGTCAATCATATATCTATCTAGATATATCTATTGATATATCTATCAATCTATCCATCGATTCTATCAGTATATATCATGTATCTAATCTATATCTATCAATGGATCCATTATTCTGTCAAAATATATCAATCTTTCCATCTGTCTAGTCTATCAATTTATTTATATGTATCGGTCAGTCTATCCCTCTATCCATCTATCCTGTCATCCTTATATCCATCAATCTATCCATCTGTCCTATCAATCTATCTATCTCTATCAATCATTCTATTTGTCTATTAGATCAATACATCAGACTGTCCATGAAGTTCACATAAAAGAAAATAGTGTGCAATTTAAGATTTAAATTTAAAATAGCGTGCAATTTAAGATTGCACACAAACTTTCTGGACACCCTGTATACCGCAATCTATCAATCTATTCTATCAATAAATCAATCAATGTATTCATTTTTCTCTTCTATCTATATTCATCGATCTATCCATCTATTCTCCCTATCCATCCCATCTCTCATCAATCTATCTATGTATCCTTCTATTCTATCAATCTCCCCAACCATCTGTCAATCTATCGACCAAACAATCTATCCATCCGTTCTATCTGTCTACTCATCCATCCGTCCATTTGTCCATCTACCCATTTACACACCCACCCACCCTGTCACAGATCCGTACATGTCTCTCTCCAGAGATATTTACATCTTCCCAATCAACTGAGGGATTGAAAACCACACACTGAGTTTTCCTGGAGAAGAAGGCAGTTTCTGCGTCCAGACCACGGCATCAAGTCCTCCCTGAGTTTCCAGCCTGCTGACCTGCTCTGTAGACTTCATAACGATTACATGAACTGATTTCTTAAAATAAACTTCTTTAGATACAACCAGATACATACACGTATGTGGATATTGTTCCTGGGCCCCTGAGAGGATGCCCACATCCCTGGATGCTGAAAGCCCTGCTATAAAATAGAGTAGTATTTGCATATCATCCACACTTATATGTTAAATCATCTCTAC